CTGGTTGGGACTTCGTTCTCGAAGTTTTCGTTACTTCAGCTATCAACTCGTCCAATATCTGGATCTGGGCAGGATGCAATTTTTCTCCAAATAGAATTTTGAAAATTCGTTTTATTTTTCTAATTAGGAAGATAATTAGAAAAGCTTAAATGATTGAAAATATTACAACAGAAGTGGTGCTCAGTCTTGTTGATAATCGGGGTAGTACGTCTATGGTATCTAGTAGTTGGATTTGATAATGTGTCTTTGGAATTATTAAGTTTTCTATTTTCATCCTATGGTTTGGTATTAATTTTATTGGAACAATTTTTGGAACAGAAATGTCTTGTGACGTCTTTTTAGTAAATTCGATACCTTCAATCGCTATTGGTACATCTGTCGTCAAGAGGCTGGTTGAATTGATTTCTATCTGCTGGGTTCTCATCGAGTGAACTATTCCTAGCAATATGACTTTACTGGTGTCTTGGAAAAAGTTCTCTGTGACTAATGTTCTTGTGCAATTATCTTTATTGGGTATGTTGCATTGGGATTGTACATAGTTGAAGCAGACTATGTTGTCGCCTTGTCTTATACAAGTGTCGAACCATTTATTTTTTGTATATTAGCATGCAGGTGGCAAAATCATAACATAATCCTTTTCTTGGAATGGGGTAGATTTTATAGGTAATGTAAGGAATTTCATTGAGTATAGGGATTTTAATTATTATGAACATTGTATTTATATATTATACAAACTAAAGTTTATGTTGACTCTATAAGTTCATAAAGGTTTTCATTATTATTGGATTGGATTGAATTTCTGGTATAAATTGTGAGATGGTTTTCTTTAAGGTCTATTATTTTCTATAAAGTGAATAATTCTATATTAGGGATATTTAGTTCAGATACATTAATGGTTCTAAAAGTTTCATTAGAAATTCGTTTATATTTTAAAGATTTATTATCTCATTGTGTAGAATGATATAGCTGTCAAAATAAGCTAATAATTTGTTAAGTGCAGATATGAGAATTGAATTATCGGAATTTAATTTTTCTAAAAGTTTATTGAATCTCGTATTAAAAGAGTTTCCATAAGATATTTGGTTATTAAATTTTTAAAATTTTTCATTTTGTTTATTTTCTATAGAGATTAGACGTGATTTTAATAAGTCTAACTCAGAGTCGTCAGGATTTTGATTTATTCGGAATCTCCTGAATACTGAATGGATGGACCAGGGCGAGGATTGTCTTGTAAAAAATTTGGGTATTGAGTAGGTTTGTCTACATGTTTTCCTATTCGTTCTACATATTTACGGTGAGTGCTGGTTACATTTTGTTTATCTGTTTTACCGACAACTTTTGTGTTCTCTTGGTTTTCTGGATGAATAGTGGAGAAAGGAGCTTGTAATTTAGACTTATGTTTTTTCTTAGAGACATCTAGAGATTTTGTGAGGTCTATTTCCGGAATACCTTTGGCATTTTTGTTTTGTCTATCTAAAAATTGTTGTCTCTATTGTTTTTGTTTATTATATAGTTCTGCAATAAAGGATTGGAGTTCTTCTTTTTGTCTTTGATTATATGTTTCGTATATCAGAAGATCAAAGTCAAAATGTATTTCTTCTGCATAGGGTCCGTACAGAATTGAAAAAGGGGAATATTTTGTGGAACTGTGGATTGATTGGTTTTAAATGAGAATGGCATATTTTAGAATGTCATCTAACGAATCATTTAGGTTTTGGGCTTGTAAGGTACTAAGCTTTTCAATAAAAGTTGAATCTCTGCTCTACTGCAGAGTTGGAGGTGGAATTGTTTACTGTTATAAAATGTATTTGAATTTTGTGAAAATTAAGGAGTTATTTAATGACTGTGGAATTGAGTTCGGTGCCGCTGTCGCATACAATCTTTTTGGATAGTTGTGGTGCGAAAAGTAGTGTCTCAATTTATTTAGTAAGAAAATTAAAGTTTTGTCGGTAAGCTTATAGCATTGACCGTATTGGCAAAGAAATCTATTATTGTGAGATACAGGTTTTTATTCCAGTTGAGTATATCGATAAGTTATATATCAAAAGGTTTTTGAACTAACAATGGTCCTAATTGGGGAAGTTTCTTGGGTATAATTAATTATTATGTATAATTTAAAATATTACGATTTACGCCAACTTGCTTCAATAAAATTTAGATATTAAAAAAGATACAGGGTGTTAAAGTTAAAATTTAAATTAATTTTTTTATATAGCGTCCATTTTAAGTATAATAAATTATAATTTGATGCATAGTTTGATGTCAATGATAGAGTGCGCCACGTATGCCATATATCTTGCATTTATGTGCGATTAACTTTTTTGCCTATTAAGTTCGGGCTATTTTTGTCAAAAAATATTAAAGTTACATTATTTAACAACAACAAAAAAATGCTATACATGTTAATAACTTTAAAACTTAACAGTTCTCGGGATAATCGTATTTTACAAATCAGCTGCATAATTAAGATTTAACGCATTTACTCTAGACAACGAATAAAAACTAGACAAAAACATCAATACTTCTGAATTTTGGTATGAAATACTTTTAACTAAAGTTAATAGTTAACCAATTATTAAAGAAAATACATATATCAGCAGAATAATGAATAATAGGATTTAACAGAATAATATGATAAGAGGATTTGACATAAAAAATTTTGCGTTTTATGTTAAATTAGAGTCATAAAAACATTTTATTTACAAATCAAATTAAAAAATGGGTAAAGTAAATCATATTAAATTTTTTGTTTAAGTTAGTGTTTGATATGTCCACCATTTTCTTCAATGCATTTATCAATAAGTTCCATAAAAGACATTTTAAATAGCATCATTGGTTCAAAAGAAACTGCTGCAATATTTATTTCTTCCCAAAGTTTGTGGCGAATAAGGTAGCAGAGCATGTTAACAAAGAACATCAGAAAATAAATTATGAATCGGTAAAAGTTTTAGCTATAGAGTCTAAATCTACTTAAAGACTTTTCTTAGATTTCCAATGATGTCTCATCAATTGATTTATTGTAATGTTTCAACTTTCAGTATATCTTAAAAAAATGTTTTATTATACAATTTTGGTTTGTTAATTTTAAACAACTTTCTGGTAAATTTTGATGTGTATTCTATTAGTAGTAATACTTCATAAGAACAAGATAATATAATAAAAGAAGAAATGGTGTCATTTTGTAACGCCATATTTTGCTTACCTTAGGGTAACAACGTGGGGGTAAAAGATTAGGAACAGAAACTACTGGGGGTAGAGATAGGGCAAACAAAATAATCGAAACTAGTGCGTACGACACTTAGGGGATTGTTGGAGAGCTGGGTCGTGGATAAGTTGAAATAAATGGGTCGGATTGGGGTATCTACAAAATGAAAACAAAGGGATACTTACATAAATCTCCTGGAACAAAAACGAACAACATATGGCAGATAAGAATTACCTCTAGCTGTTTTCTTTATTGGCACGCCGCTTCGAGAAAAACTTCCTGCTAGAGGAAAGAAAATTTCTTCTTCCCTAAAATCAAGAATACAATGAACGGTTAGGAGACTTTTCTAAATTAAAACAAAAATAAATCTGAGAAACAAATCAAACGTTTATTTTTGTCTTAAACAAACAGTTATCAAAAATACAGATTGCACAAAAACATACTATATAACCATAATTCAAAATTAACAAAAACTAACGTGTTTATCTGTTTACAAAGAAAATTGCTACAAAGATTTTCGAATTTCGAAAAAAAATTATTAAAAATTAAGGATATCCTTGTTAATGAAAATATCCTAAAATTTAACCTTATATATGAAATATTTTTTCTATATAATAATCAAATTAAAATTGTTTTACAATAACAACAGATTAGGGCCAAAATGTCATATGTCAACACAACATTTTAAGACAGAATGAATTATGACTTTTTTTAGCTACGCCTCTAACATAATATAAAACTTTAACTATTACAAATTTTAAATTTTTAAATGAAAGCAATAGAAATAAAATGTTTGATTGTTACCTTAATTCACAAACTTTTGCACTCAACATCTAAAAAAAAATCGCCAAACACCCATGAGATATCTGGACATATTCTACAACAGGAACAAGGAAACCATTTCTATACTCAAGAACGACGATCACAAATGTAAATCAGGTTTGGTGGAGAAACAAGCTGACAAACAAAAGGAAAGCTGATGGGGACACCCTATATATTACTCTTCACAATTCCATTAGTTTCGGTATACTGTACAAATCTTATGGTTGCTACTCTGTCCTAAGATGCAATTTTCGCAAAAAGTAAATCCAACCGTTCACCGCTTTTGAATTTAAGACATTACACAAAAAATCGGCTATGGATTCAAAATCCGTCAAACGTCTTTCTAGTTTGAAATCTCTTGCTTCACTGCCTACCTCGTTTGGTTTTAAATTTTCAACACAAAAATAAATTCCCCTAGGGTCTCGTAACATTGCTCAAAGAAGAGCTTGTCTAAGGAAGCGATAAGTGGTTTGACAGCATAATAAAATCGTAGATTTATGTGTAACTTTTAATTTTTATGATTTTAGAATCCAGCAGCCTGCTGAAGTATTGGATTTTTATAATATAATTATTTGACAACCTTTTGTTGGTCAACCACCTACAGAAGAATTGAGCCGAAATACATAATATTTCGTATGTTCCGAATTTATTTTGTTCAATCTGTATATATATATATATATATATATATATATATATATATATATATATATACAGTTTCTTATTATTGTCTAAACTTAGCAGGTTGTGCCTAATACTTTTGTTAAAATACATTTCAAATTTGACATTATTTAAAATTACTAAAGATTTCATAAATTTATATAGAATTTTCTCGACAAAGAAGAAAAGAACTATTTTAATTATTTTAGATAGTTTCTTATTGGTAATTAAGTAAAATAATATTTCATTTGCTATATTTGATTATGCTTTATTTTTACTTGTCCCAGTTTTTTAACAAAACACTTTTATTTTATAGGAACTCATAAAATCACCTGAGAATAATAACATTATTATTAGTGGATTGTCTGCAGAAATCATATTATCTTTGCTTGCAAATGGAGCCAGAGGAGAGACGCAAACAGAATTGTTGGATGTTTTGAGGTTACCCCGAAACATAGAGGGTATCAATAAAGCGTACGCGGAGATAACATCTCGCCTAAAAGTAAACCAAAAAGTATTTAAGTTGTTATCAGCAAACAAAGTTTATTCAGCTCAAAACTTTTTGATTGAAAAAACGTTTAATCATATTGCTGTTACTGACTATGACTCAGAAGTACAAAATGTAGACTTTTCCAAGTCTACAGAGGCCGCTAATTTGATCAATGATTGGGTTGAACAAAAAACTAATAACAAAATCAAAAATCTTATAGATCCTAAGACGTTGAATGCAAATGTATTATTAGTGTTAGTCAATGCCTTATACTTTACCGGAGAATGGAAATATCCTTTCAACAAAAAGTTAACGACTGACGAATTGTTTTACAGTTCACCCACTGAATCTAAAAAAATTCCAACCATGCTCATAGCATCACCAGCCAAATACGCTTACAATGAAAAACTTCAAGCTAAATTTTTGGAGCTTGAATTCAAGGGTAGCAATGTTAGTATGACCTTTGTCTTACCCGACGAAATAAATGGATTAGCAGCTGTTGAAGAAAACCTACAAGACTACTTAGCTCCTCAACAAATGAAATATGAACATGTTACCATACAGTTACCCAAGTTTAAAATCGAAAAAACAATTGATTTTAAACCCATCCTGCAATCGGTAAGTTTTGAAACCATAATTATTCTAATTTTATTTCAGCAGCAGTACAGGCAGTCAGATAATCATATAATTGTGATAAGTATGTGAGCTATATTTATATAAGTTATTGCTTAAATGTAACAAAATTAAAGTAAATCTAATTATTTTTCTGCTACTTTGGTAAAATACGATAGTAAAAAAAACATGTGAAAGTGACTTGTAATAAGATGATGGTATCCAATCCACAAACTCCAAGGATCCAGTCCTCTCCTGAGTCTCCTGAGCAAAAGCTGTCTCGGACACCATGGCTGAAATGATATTAGTTTTCAGCTACCGCAAAACCCCCGAGTAACAAGTTTGCATTTTGTATTGAATTTCCGCAAAACTTTATTAAAAAGGCCCGTTTTGGGCACCAGATACCTTCACACCATTGCCAACATGATATTAGTGTTCAGAGAACCCAAAAATCGCTTAGTAGTTAGTTTTCACCGATTTTGTATCGAAATATATAGGAATTTCATCAATATATTCCTTAAAACCCAGCCATATACAATTTTTTTAAAGCCATAAACGATATGAACCAGAATAAATATTAATAAATTTTTGTAAGCTCTTTTCTCTATTCGGATTGCTGAATAGATGCCTCTCCTAATTCTCGTTATTCATCTTTGTTGTTTGTAAGACGTTTCCACATTGGCCCTGCAGTTCTTTTAATATCGTCTCTCCAGCGCATTTGCGGTCTTCCTCGTGGTCTTTTGGCTTCATATGTCCGCCAATTCCCGATTTCTTTATTCCATCAGCCATTCTTAAGACGTTCGTTATATCCAGCCCATTTCGATTTGAGTTTAGCTGATTGTTCGACAGCATTTACTTTTGTTTTATTACGAAGGTCTTCACTGAATTTATGGTCTTTGAGTGAGATATCCAGCATCTGTCGTTCCATAGCTCTCTGAATTTTTCTGATCTTCTCCATGTTTATTTTAGTAAATGTCTAGGTTTAAGTTTCATATGTAAGTACAGGTAGGATACAGGCATTGAACACTTTGTTTCGTAGTCTTTGAAGTATATTTTTATTTTTAAGTGCGTGTTAGAGTCTTTCGAATGCTGCCCATCTTATTTTTACACGTCTGCTTATTTCCGTAGTCTATTTTTTTTTGCTTACCTTGATATTTTGACCCAAAAATGTATATTTATTTACGTGTTTTATCTGTGTTCCTTCGATGTTTATCATAGGTTTGTTAACTTTGTTTGACATTAGTTTAGTTTTGCTGAAATTCATTTTCAGTCGTTTTTTAGAGATTCTGTGTGTAGCTCCTCAATCATCGTATTTAGTGCATTCCACGTATCAGTTATTAGTACTACATCATCTGCATATCTAAGATAGTTTAAGTATCTTCCCAGTCTATTCTTCTTCTTCTTCTTGTAGTGCCTATCCGTTTCGGATGTTGGCGACCATCATAGCAATCTGCACTTTACACACTGCTGCTCTAAAAAGATTTGTGGTTGTTGTATTGAACCACGTTCGTAGATTTTTCAGCCAGGAAATCCTTCGCCTTCCTGGTCCCCGTTTTCCTTCTACTTTTCCCTGCAAGATTAGTTGCAGCAGTCCATATCTTTCGCTGTTCCTCATGATGTGACCGAGGTATTCGATTTTAGCTGTTTTTATTGTGGTTAACAGCTCTTTTTCTTTTTTCATTCTCAACAGAACACCCTCATTAGTAACGTGGTCGGTGTACGATATCTTCAGGATGCGACGATAAAGCCACATTTCAAAAGCCTCAATTTTCTTGCAGGTGGCGTCTGTGAGAGTCCATGACTCAACTCCGTACAACAGTATAGGAAAGATATAACATCGTAGTAACCTGATTTTTATGGGCATTGATAAATCATGACATTTGAATAACTTGGCCATTTTTTGAAATGCAGATCTTGCTTTCTCTATTCTACATTTGATTTCTATGGAATGGTCCCAATTTTCATTGACGTTCGTACCAAGGTAGGTGTATGTTTTTACTCTTTCTATTTGTTGACCGTTTACACTGATTTGTTCAAATTGCTGTTCCTTCTTAGAGATCATCATGCATTTTGTTTTCTTGGTGTTTAGTGAAAGTCCGTATCTCTGACTGACCTCTGTGATTCTGTTCATTAACTCCTGGAGGGCTTCAGAGCTGTCAGCAAATACTACCGTGTCGTCCGCGTATCTAATGTTATTGATTAATTCTCCGTTGATTCGAATTCCGGCTTCAACATCACCCACTGCTTCTTGAAAGATTTCCTCAGAGTATATATTAAACAGCAGTGGTGATAGTATACATCCCTGACGGACGCCACGTTTGATTTTGATGTCGTCGGATTCTCCTGCCTCTGTCCGGATAGATGATGTTTGATTCCAGTACAGATTGCTGACAATTCTTAAATCACAAGTGTTTATTCCAATATTGGTTAGTATCTCCATCAGCTTGTCGTGCTTTACTGTATCGAACGCTTTATGGTAGTCAATGAAGCACGCATAAATGTCGCAGTTCACGTCTCTACATCGTTGGAATAGCACTTGTATACTAAAGAGAGCCTCTCTCGTACCCACTGCATTCCGAAAACCAAACTGTGTACGGCTGATTTTTTCTTCGCACAGTCTATATATCCTTTGATGTATGATTTTTAGAAATAATTTTAAAATATGACTCATTAAGCTGATGGTTCGGAAATCACTGCAGGATACGGATTTTGTTTTCTTTGGTAAAGTAATAAAGGTCGACTTAAGCCATGTTCTTGGTATTACTCCGCTTAAGTATATATCATTAAATACCTTTGTTAGGTGTTGAATACCGTCGGTGTTAAATAGTTTTATGAGCTCAGCATATGCATTGTCAGGTCCAGGAGCTTTGCCATCTTTTAGTTGTAATATGGCTTTTTGCACTTCATCTGATGTGATTGGTAAGTGGTCATCACATATGTAAGATGGAGGTTGTTCGGATCTAGTATCATCAAAGAGTTCTTGTATGTATTTTGTCCATATGCGGATTTCTTGATTTTTGTCTGTGATGATATTCCCCTGTTGGTCTCGCAGTTTGTTAGCTGTGTTGGATTTCTGAAGACCAGCCTGTTCACTTAAAAATATCTTGGAGGGCAGCTGTAAATAATTTTGGAGATATTCTGTCTCCTTGTCTTACCCCACGGTTCATTTTTACTGGTCTTGTTTCAGTTCCATTACCCAACTTCACTATTATTTCAGCTTATTCGTAAATATTATGTATTAATATTCTATACCGTTTTCTGCAACGAAAACTTTTGAAATCAGGACTGACTGTTGCAAAGATAACGAAAAGTAAATAAGACCGAATGAGTAAAGGAACAAAACGATTACCGAAAAAGATAAACAAATAAATAAGGGCGTAAAGAAAGATTTAAGAATCTATAATGAAAACAAGGTAGAAAAACTAATAAAAAAGAACCGAGGCCTAAAATGCTTTAGATCAAACTTGGGAAAGCCTATAATAATCTCATTGAAGGATAAAGATGGAAAAGAAATAAGAGAAAAGAACAAAATTCTAGAAGTTGCCCAAACGTTTTACCGTGATTTATATTCCTCACACAAGAACCCAGATAACACAGCAAAAGAAGATCTTATTTGAAAGATAACGAATGTCAACTCAGAAATACTCCCTAACATAGAATCCTTTGAAATAAAATAAGCTATGGTACAAATAAAAAACAATAAGGCTCCGGGCCCAGATGAAATACTTGTAAAAATGTTAAAGAAGAGGAGTGAAATTATTCTCGAAGAATTGAAAAATTTTTTCAACGAATGTGTTCACAGAGGAGAAGTCCCAGATGATTGGAATGAAAGGTTGACAGTACTTCTCTTTAAAAAGGGAGACAAGGGGGATTTAAAGAACAATACGCCGATCTCCCTGCTGTCCCAAATATACAAACTGTTTATGAGAGTAACAACTAACAGATTAACGTCGAATATCGACAGCTATCAACCGGTAGAGCAGGCAGGATTCCGAAAGGGTTACAGTACAGCGGTCATCTTCTTACAGTCAGAACTCTAATAGATAAAGCCAATAAATATCATTTGAATTTATACATTGGCTTCGTTGATTACAAAAAGGTTTTCGACTCCATTGAACTTTGGACAATAGAAAAAGCTATGAACAACTGCAAGATAGACTTCCGATACAGAAGGCTCGTACATAATATTTACAAGAAAGCTACTATGAAAATAAACATAAATTGGAAAAAAAAACTATACGAATCAACAGAGGAGTTCGCCAGGGAGATATTATCTCACCAAAGCTATTCACACTTGGACCTGAAGACGTGTTTAAAGATATTTACTGGACAGATAAAGGAATAAATGTCAATGGAAGAAAACTGAGTGATTTAAGATACGCTAATGATCTTGTAATATTTACTACAAGGCTTGAAGAACTACAGACCTTGATGACGCATCTATTTCAAGCTTCAGAAAAAGTAGGTCTTAAGATAAACTTGGAAAAAACAAAAATATTAACAAATACACCGAACATTAGAAAAATAACGTTGAACGAGATACATTTAAAAGCAGTAAGCGAATACATATACTTGGGACAGACAATGAAAGTTAACAAATAAAATTAAACTGCCGAAATTACCAAGGGAATAAGATTAGCGTGAGCAGAATTTGAAAAATTTGAAAAAATGAACAAATAGTAAAAGCACAAAGAGCGATGGAAAGATCAATGCTTGGGGTAAGACTTATAGACAAAAAAACAAACAAAGTGATTAGAAGCAAAACGAAAGTAAAAAACGAAGAAGAATATACTGCCAAATTAGAATGGAGCTTCGCAAGACACCATGCCTGACTAAAGGATAAGAGGTGGAACCTCTGGAAAGTATATAGATGGTCACAGGTGCTGTACCTTTTTCTAAATCCGGCTTGTTCTACTGCTTGATATCCGTCAAATTTTTAATTGTTAACCTGTTTGTAATAATCTTTAAAAAGGTTTTGAAAAGTTGTGGAAGAAGTGAAAGTGGTC